GAGCACTCTCTGTGCTCCAGCTTCAGTGCGGTGCGCGAGGGAGCTGAAGAGGAAGCACACAGAGAGTGCTCCCTCGCGCGCCGGCCCGCCCACCGCCGGCTGACAGCAGGGCCAGCCTCTGGGGGGCCCTTAGGTGACCGGCTGCTGGGCCCCCCAGGAGAAGAGGCTGGCCCTGTGGGTACATACAGGGTCGCAGGGCCCCCTGCGACCCGGTATGTACCCCATGACAACCCCCTGATGGCGGCCCTGGTTATAATACCCCAAATGAAAGCTAAGGCTCATTAAATCCATCTCTCAAAATTCTACTGTGAATACTGAAAAGGACAGGTATCCTGTATGGCACTGTAACTTCACGAAATAGTGCCAAAGACATACAATGGGGGTGTCATTTTACTCAGCAGATGTAACTGAACACAAAATAAAACTTTGTACAGGAATAGCACACACCAACTTTACAAAATATACATGAGAATTTCTTTGTTATAAGTTTGTGTGCCAAAAACAAAAAAAAACACAATTTTACTCCAATATTTAGCAGAGGTTGGCGGTGAAATGGCTACGTAGAAAGTGTCAAAACAACCTTAGGTAAATAGCCCGTGATGTCTACTTTATATAAATATATACTTTTGTGTGGCAATTTTGTTTTCTTTTATGGCTATTAAGCTTACAAGACAAACATACCAAATTCTAAAAATCGCTCCACATTAAAAGTCTATTTTACTCCTTGTGCTTTGTGACCTGTAACTACCAAAAAAAAAAAAAAATTAAAATCCCAGACACATTATATATTCTGTAAATCAGAACAACTAAATTAATTTATTTTTAATTACTTTTCTTAACCTGCACTAATTATGCACACATTATTATTGCAAAAACTGTAAAAAAAACACAAAATTTTCATTTCTTTTACATTTTTCTGTATTTTTTTATAATAAATAAGCATTTATATATATGTGTGTTACATCAAATTAAAGCCCTTTCTGTCCTTTAAAAAACGATGTATAATATGTAAATAAAAGGAAGAGACAGCGCCATTTGACCTATAAGGCAGCAACCCAAAAAAGGGAATCCCCCCAAAAATGAGTTTCTGGACACCACTGAAGGACCGATACTCACCGCACGTCCCATAAGCGGGGACTATACCGCTGTGTGCGCTTTACCCTAGAGCTGGACAGAAGCTCTTACAAATTGTGAGTTTGCTACTTTTATTTTATTCCACTTGAACCATACATATTGCACTAACGGCTGTTTTTTATCTTTTATATCCCATACCTGAAGACTTTGTTCCTGTATCCAAGGACGACAGAGAGGACACATTTTTTAGGTTGGACTTTTTACCAGTATTTGGATTGAATATTATTTACTCCACTTTGGCGCAGCCCTTCTTTTACATTCAGTTTTTTACGATGTATAATATGTGTTGGTGCAACAAATTAGTAAAATGCAAATTGCAGTTGAACGCAAACAGCAAAAAATGAAAAAAATGCTGTTGTCATTAAGTGAAAAACAAGCTTTTGAAGCTCTGTCCTTAAGGGGTTAATGCGTGTGCATGTTTTTTTTTGGGGTTTTTTTAACACACCTTTTTTTAGCTGTGTATGCAACAGAATACAAAATCAACCAATCACAGACGTTCAGTGCAAAAAATACAATTATTCATATAACATTACGTATTACAGGAAATCTGCTGCGCATGTCTAGCACGTCTTCTCTAAACTATGCGAAGGTCATCTTGACCTGTGAGACAGAGAAAAGGGAGGTTATGCTTGCAAGATAGCAGACAGGGGATGGAATTCTTGTTTTTAACCCCTGCAGACATGGACAGACTTAACTTAGACAAAAAGGCTTTTTAACCCTTTATTTACCTATATCTATAACAAGTCCCCTTTTCTCTGGTACTGCGGGTGAGAGTTAGGCAAGGTATCTCCAGATGTACTAATTACACCTGTGGGCCTTTAATTAGCGCTTAACCTCTATTTTTTGTTTTTGTTTAATTATTAAATTAATAATTTAAGCCAATATGGAACCACTATATACACAACCCCTCACATACACACACACAAACACACTACACACCCTGCACTAACACACACTCTATACACCTCTATATACACGCTACACCTCCTGCACTTACACACAAACTGCACAAACGCTAAACTCCTCTATAAATACTACACCCCCTGCACTCACACAAACACACTACACACACAGCACTCTATACCCCTTATATACACACTATATCCCGGGAACTCACATACACACAATAAACACACTCTATACCCCCTTAACATACACTACACTCACATACTTTATACCCCTATACAGGGCTGGCGCGTCCAAATTTTGGAGATGGGAATGGAAAACTATGACAGGGGAGAAAGAACACTATTGGACAGGGGAGGGGGGAACACTAAAAAAG